TTCTGTCTGTCTGTCTGTCTGTCTGTCTGTCTGTCTGTCTGTCTGTCTATCTGTCTATTAATCCATCTATCTATCTGTGTGTTGTTCCAGCCGCTCACATTGCCAACTGCTCGTTTCTCCTTTCGTCCCTTGGTTGATCTGTCCATCTGTCAGCTCACTGGCGTCTGTAAATGTTAGACATGCTGTGGGTGGTTCGTGGGTGGTTTGCTTCTTCTTTCCTATCAAACATATATCTTCCTTATCTCTCCTCCATCGTTTTGTGTTTGTTACTCTCTTGTAACACATCTATTCTTCGGCACTTAAATGCCCTCATTGTGTTGCAAGTATCGTAAAACTCTAGCTTAAACTGAAACGTAGACATGCTACAGGGATTTATACCGACGTTTGTTGTGTGGGTAAGACATTTCGCCATCGTACACAGAAGACGCGGGTTCGTTTCGTGTACTAGGAGATATTTTCTATTTAATAAAATCTTACTCTTTCTGCTGAGACTTTTCATCCCTCTTGGTTCAGGTTGATCCGTCTTCTAAATGACCTAAATTGTGTCGATGTGGGCGTGAAGCATCTACATTAAATAAAATCCACATTCGTTGGTTTTGCGAACATCTCAAGGGCGCTACTACTAGTCAGTCATGTGAGTGGTTTGGGGGGGGGGGGTGCTACGGGGCGACCTTATTACTCTACTATTCCCTGGATGTTTTATATTGTCTGTCTGTCATGCTTTTCGGTTACTCTAAATGGCTGTTAGTGGGTGGTTGGCGGGTGCTCTGGTGTGGTTTGCTTCTTCTTTCCTATCAAATATCTATTGTCCTTATCTCCCCTTCTTCTTTTTTATGTTTGTTACTCTCTTGTAACTCCTAATCTTGTGGCGCTCATTATTATGACCTTATGCAGTTGCTAGCGCCGTAAAACCCTCTACTAATACTAAATGGTTGTTATTGTTTCTGTGTGTTTCTCTTTAGACACCTTTACGTGGCCTGACAGTCAGCCATCTGTCTGTCTACCTTTCTTTCTTTCCATACAACCGTCCATATTTTCACCTTTCCCACATACCCCACCACCTTCACCGATCCCCCCGTCCGCTTATCCACCCATCCATCCATCCATCCATCCGTCCATCCATCCGTCCATCCATCCATCCATCCATCCATCCTTCCATCCATCCATCCAAGTGTCCACCTGCCCCCACTCTTCCATCCACCCACCCATCCATCCATCCATCCCTCCATCCATCTATCTATCCACCCACCCATCCATCCTCCCTTTCATCCATCCATCCTTCCAACCATTAATCCGTCCATCCATCCATCCATCCATCCATCCATCCATCCATCCATCCATCCATCCATCCTTCCACCCACCCATGTGTGTGGGTGGTTGGCGGGTGCTATGGTGTCGTTTGCTCCTTCTTTCCTATCAAACAACTATCGTCTTTATCGCTCCTCCTTCTTTTTTATTTTTGTTACTCTCTTGTAACGCCTCTAATCTTCGTCAGTTATATGACCTAATTGTGTTGCAATTGCCGTAAAATGCTTTAAAAAATCCATGTGTCCGCCTGCCCACCCACTCTTCCATCCATCCATCCGTTCATCTACATAATATCCGCCATATCCGTTAGCCCATCTGTTTAATGTATCCTAAATATATTTATATTGCTTTGTAGGTTCGCTGTATTAACACTTCTCTCAGTATACCAGCAACTGCCGTCGCTCTTTGGTACGAGACTTGGGATTCTGCCTCACACAACTCTCCGTCAGTGGGCGTGGAACGTATTTGTGAATATTGCTCAAGAGTCTCAGACTCAATCGAATGGGTGGCTTTTGATTTCTCCTCAGCCCTCGTCCATCAAATGGGGCTGCGACTGTAATAGACTTCTGTCGTATTTCCATCGGATAGACTATTATGTTATTTTCATTGGGGAGACTGCAAGATCATTTCCATTGTGTAGACAGTGATATTATTTCCATTTGGTTGAGTGGTTTATGAAACGGCGTTTCCGTCGATCAGCCCCTGTGTGTGTTTTATGATAACATGGCTGCCTGCTGTGGTATTTTTAAACGTGGGCACATGTGGATGAAAAACTTTATGCAGTCACGTCAAGAGCCCCCCTCCCCCATCGAAAAAAAAAGAACCCCCCCCCAAAAAAAAAGAGACAACCCCCCAAAAAACAACAACAAAAAAACAACAACAAAAAAACAACAACAACAAAACAACAACAAAATAACAACGACAAAAATTAGAATTAATTATTTTTTAAATATATGAATAAATATAATAAAACACAACATAAAGTACCCCCCCCCCTCTTTTTCCCCACAGCCCCGCAAAAAAAACACCCCAAAGCAAAACAAAAAACAACAACAAAAGAACCGTTCAAACACACAGCCACACAAACAATCAAACAAATAAAACCGACCAACTCCCTACTCGGAGGTCCAATTTCATGTCTACTGCGAGCAATCGTGACCTTGTCAGTGTGTCGTGACAGGCTTTTGTTTCTTCTTAAGGTGTCCGTATGTGTTATTAGCTTTTCTCCTTGTTTTATACCTTACTCGCTAGTAACACTAATGTTCGGCACTTGTATGACCTAATTGTGTTGCGGGTGTCGTAAAAGTTTTATCAGAATAAATTATAGTAATTTTTCCCTTTGTTTTTCTTTTCCAGGAGCCCAGCCCCAACACTACGTCATACTGATCAGTGGCCTGCCGAGCTGAACGACTTCATAGCTCAGTCAGTACCTTCAGTATACAATGTTATAGTTTGTTTTTTCACTGTCCAGTACAGTCAGTACCTTCAGTAAACAGACTATGTTATAGCTTGTTTATTCACAGTCCTGCACGGTTGGTGCCTTCAATATACATATATACTTTAGTAATAGTTTGTTTATTCACAGTATACGGACATGTTATAGTTTATTCACAGTCCAGCATACACACTGCAAAATTAGCACATAACAAAGCACACCCACACACATAGCGAAACACACTCATAGCCAACATATTTTCTGGTCCTGCATATATTATATACATATATATATATATATATATATACATGTATATACTATATATATATATATATTGTATTTAGCGAAATTGCTTTGTAACGAAAAGATTTCTGCTTCCTGTTGATTTTGCTTTGTGCTTACTAGTCTATTTTTCTTTTTTAAAGTTTTTTTTAGAAGGGGGGAGGGGTAATGACGTTATTCTAAGCTCTGCTTGGCCCAAAGTCCATCATAGCGAGGTCGGATCCCTTATTGGTCGTAAACATGAGTTCAGCTCAAGTTTTTGAAAACTGCTCGAAAATGAAGAATTTGCTTGTATTTGTGGAACCCCCA